ACCTCTGACCTGTTTTTCACTAAATATTACTAAGGAACCTGAGGAAGGGACCCCCATCCTCAACATCCACTTCATCTGGATGTCCATACAGGGTACTCAGTCTATGTATTTAGTGGCCAACAGACTACTCATTCCTTTGTATGTAAGTTCAATAAACATTTGGAACCTACTATGAATTCTCCTTTGTGATAAATTCTAAAGCCACAAGATTAATAATATTTATCAGTATGCTAGTCTGGAATTAAGGAGCTCTGGTGGCATAGTGGGTGCTAGCCACAAGGTCAGTGATTCATCTTGCTTGTGGGAGAAGATGAAGGTTTCTGCTCATGTAAAGATGGACAGGCTCAGAAGCCCACTGGGGCAGTTATACCCTGTCCTAAAGGGTCACTCTAAGTCAGAATAGTCCGTGGCAGCGCGTAAGTTATTACCCTCAAGTTGATTCTGACTGAAGGTGACCACGTGTGTACAGAGGATAATAGTTCCAAAGGGTTCTCAAGGTGGTGACTTTAGCAGCAGGTTGCCAGGCCTGTCTTCCAGATGTCTGGGATGACAGTGAGTTCAATGCCAACCTTTAGAATAACGGTTGTGCTCTTAACCAATATAAATCGGCTCACCTGGTCCTCTAATGCAGGCCAGATTTTCAGTTCCATCGAGGGCTTACTGAAAAGCAATCTATCAAGTCAAATGTAAGAATAGGGTCACTAGAAGTGTTGCCTGACTTGTATAACAATCTAGTATTGTCAGGCCTGCTTAAGAACTATTGAAGGATAATTCGACAATAGAAGAAAGTTTCTCTTACCTTGCTGACCATGATGTTTGTAATCTGGGGAAGATGCTGAGCTATAGGCATGTTTCCACACACTCTGTTATAGGATTTTGTAGAAAACAACTAGTTACCAAAGTCTCTTTGTAGATGGCATGTGCTATAAAAAATGAGTTAAAGTAGGATGCTTCCCCTTCAAGTAGTTTACACCCCCCCTTCAAGTAGTTTACACCCAAGTGAGGGGAAAATGATGTGTTCATTTGATTGTAAAATCACAGTGCAAATATTTGAGGGCTCAAGTGAGTAGCACAGACATTTGCTGAACAGAGTTCAGAAATAGTAAGAATTAGTTGAAACTGGGGATAATTATGACGGTTTCATGAAGAATGTACAGTAGAGTTGGAATGTGAAGGACAGGTAATTTGGGTAAGTGGGAAATACTAGCTGGCAGGGAAGGGAGGTGTTTTAGATACCTGAGAAAAAGCACAGAGGCAAGACTGAAAGATGGCCCTGGAGTAAAGGGTCCATCAGGGAATAGAGACAGAGTTGAGCTTTAAAAGTTCAAGAAGTTTGAGCTGTATCCCAGGAATAATAATGAAGTAACAAAGAACAAGTAGGTAACATTGGCAAATACTTCTGTAGATTTTGGTTGATTTAATTAAGAAGTTTTTAAAAAATAATGTTTTAATGTTGTTCTTAATGCTATAAATGACACAAACCAATTGCAATTTGTGACCTGCAGAAAAACAATGATCAAAATAAGCATAATCACTCATTGATAACTTTTGTGTGACTTCTGTAATATCTTCTCCCCCTTTTTATTCCTGCTGAGGATAATTTTAAAATTTTGTTTACAACATGAAATAGGTACATCTGTTATTAACCTAGATGGTCATTTACATGTCTGTCTCCCTTGCAAGACCTTGGTTTGGTTCCTAAAGTGAGAGTCAAGAGTCTTTTATCTCCTTTGCAAGCACTTATCAGGACAAGGATGTATTGATGCTCATAAAAGTTTGTGGAATCAATAAATGGCCTCTAATCTTATAAGGATCACTTCATAGAAGAAAGAACCCCAAGTAATAGATTTGTAACAACTTGTGTAGGTATAGGGATGAGAAATAGCCATAAATGGAAAGTGGAATACAGTATTGAACTGTTGGGGTAGGGGTAGCGGGAGACTTGTAAAATGGACTAGTTCAGTTCAGAAAATGTGATTACCAAGCATCATTAATATCATCAAGGAATTTATTAGTATTGCAAATAATTTTTTTTTCTTTTTTAAAAGTCATTTTATTGGGGACTCATACAGCTCTTATCACAATACATACATAGTGTCAAGCACGTGTACATTTGTTGCCATCATCATTTTCAAAACATTTTCTTTCTACTTGAACCCTTGCTATCGGCTCCTCATTTTTCCCCCTTCCCCCCACCCTCCTTCACCCTTGATAATTTATAAATTATTATATTTTTTGTCTTACACTGACAAATGTCTCCCTTCATCCACTTTTCTGTTATCCATTCCCCAAGGAGGGGGTTATATGTAGATCACTGTGATCAGTTCCCCCTGTATTGCAAATTCTTAGGCCATATTTCAGTCCTACTAAATCATAAACTGAGAATGAGGCCAGGCAATCGGTTGTAACAAGTCCTTCAGTTGATTATAATAAAAATTATCCTTTGAAAACAACAAACTAGAACAGTGAAACTATAGGACTGTAATGTTGAAGACCAAAGTATAGAAAGATTTAAAGCTCAAACACAGAGTAAGTATTTTCAATGAATATGGCAGTAAAATATCATAGTAGCTGTAATATGAAAACTGGGAATAAGATTCTGTAGTTTCAAAATAAAGTTGAGTATGTTGTAAATGTACTCAGTCTACCTATCTTTTTTGGATTACAACTTTGCTGACTGACTAGTGCTTAAGACAAATTATGGTGTCATCGTGTTCGTTCCAACTCACCATGACCCTATCTGTGTGTGACAGAATGAACACGGCCTGGTGTTCACCATCCTAAAATTGTGTCGTATTGACGCCCATTGTTGTAGCCACTGTGTCATTCCATCCCCTGGCGCTCTTCCTCTTATGCACTCACCGGCTACATTACAAAGGTGATGTTCTCCAGGAAGTAGTCTCTCCTGATGACAGGACCACTGTGCACAAGACAAAGACTTACCATCCTTCTTTCTAAGGAGCATTCTGGCTGTACTTCTTCCAACAAAGATTCGGTCATTCTTTTGGTAGCCTAGGATAGATTTAATGTTTTTCACCAACACCGTATACTTACAGGCATCAATTCTTATTTGGTCTCCCTTATTCATTGTCTTTCGGTGTGCATATGAGATGATTGAAAATACCATGCTTGGGACAGATGCATCCTAACCCTCAAAATGACAACTTTGCTTTTTCACACTTGAAGGAGATATTTGCACTAATTTTCCCAGTACAATCCATCATTCAGTTCCTTTCTGTTGCTTCCATGAGCATTGATTATGGATCTGAGTAAAATAACAACCTTCTTGTTTTCTCCATTTACTGTGATATTGCTTAGTGGTCCATTGGTGGATTTTGTTGTCTCTCTTTCGTACATCCGGTAGGTTGAAGGCTGTGGTCTGTGGCTGTCTTAGGGCTTCAGATCCTTTCTCCTTCCAGCAAGCCAACTTGTGTGCTTTGCATATTGCAGGATATTTTGAGGCTTCCTCCAATCGTGCTGCAATATTCTTCATATCGTTCAGTTTCTCAGATTATTTTTGTAGCACACAGATTTAATAAGTAAAACTATGGTGAAAAGATACAACCTTGATGTGCATCATTCCTGATTTCAAACTGCACAGCACCCCTGTGCTGTTCAAACAACTACCTCTTGATTTTTCTCAGGGTTCCCTATGAGCACAATGAAATGTTCTAGAATTCTCACTTTTCACAATATTACCATAATTTATTCTGAGCCTTACTATTGAATGTTGTTGTTTAGAAGGTTCAAACGTATCAGCTGTTCCTTGAGAGAAAAATAAGGTTGTCTTCTTCCATTATGGTTTGCAGTCTCCTAAACTATAAGGTTGTTATTCATCAGAATTGACCCAGTGACAGTGGGCTTGTTTTTCAGGGGTTTGGGCCTAGGGTTCAATTTTATTTGCTGCTTTCCTTTCCAAGTTTATGTTGTGTTTTTATAATCCCTGACACCTTCGATTCTTTCTGCTTGTAATTTGTCTTGCTTTCCTTTATCAGACTGCCACTGCTAGTCTCTCATTTGGCTGCTTAGCTATTGGCCCCTCCAAGCCTTCTCCGACCGTCTGAGGTCTAGTTGTGAGCTAGTTGCAAGTTGTGATTGTTAGGTGCCATCCAGTCAGTTCTGACCCATAACAGCCCTATGCACAGCAGGACATAACATGGCCGGATCCTGTACCATCCTCAAAATTGTTTGTATGCTTGAGCCCGTGTTGCAGTCAATACATGTGTCAGTCCATCTCATTGAAGGCCTTCTTCGTTTTTGGTGCCCCTCTGTTTGACCAAGCATGATATTCTTCTCCAGAGACTGGTCTCCCTTGACAATATGTCCAAAGTATGTTAAGGCAAAGTCATGCCATCCTGGCCTCTGAGGAACTCTGTGGCCATACTGCCTTCAAGAGAGATCCTTTTGTCTCTTATAAAGCAGATCATGGTATTTTCCATATTCTTCTCTCGAATCACAATTCAAATTATCAATTCGTCGGTCTTCCTTGTGTAGTGTCCAACTTTCACATGCATCTGAGGCCGTGGAAAATACCATGGCTTGAGTCAGGAACACCTTAGTCTTCACAGTAACAGCCTTTTCAGTGCTCTAAAGAGGTCTTGTACACCGTATTTACCCAATGCAGTGTGTCTTTTGATCTCAACTGCTGCTTTCACGAGGATTGATTGTGGATCCAAATAAGACAAAACCCTTGACAATTTCAGCCTTTTCTCCATTTTTCATGTTGGTCCAGTTGTGAGGATTATGATTTTCTTTACATTTAGTCATAATCCATATGAAAGGCTGCAATCCTTGATCAAGGGAGATTTTATTTAAAATATTTGAACAAAGAATCAATACACTTTAGAATTTTTTAGATTTGTAGAGTGAGAAAGGGAACTCTTATTCCTTTTAACTTCTTTTTTTCTATAGCTCCTGGCAAGTATGACACAAGAATTTCACAGAGAGATTTGCAGCTGCAAGAAGGGGGAAAAGGTAAGATCTCCCCAGAAGGTGGTTGATATGTATGGGTAAGAAGCATTTCTATCATATTCCTGGTTTTAGAAGAAACATCCCCAAAGGACCTGTAGTTATTTTTGTTTTAGATACTTATTCGTGTGCTTTTCTGCTTCTAATTAATCTAGGACCCTTGGGAAGTTTTAAAATCTACTATTTGAAAACGTCATTGTCAAAGACACTCAGAAGTACAGCTTTGTTTTAGGATCCATCTTTCAGTGCTGTGTTTTAACTGTGAAAAAATCACATGTAATATTTTTCTCATATAAACCTTAAATTATAGGATTTTGAAGGACTGCTGATATCATTCTGTCTCCTGCCCTTTGTCCTGTAAGTAAAAAAATCAAAGCAGTGATAGGTTCAATGACTTAATCAAGAACCTACAGCCACTTAGTGGTGACTATATCCTCACTCTGTGACTTTGTGTTCTCTTCCTTATTGTGTAGGGCCTTTGAAAGGCCTGGAGATCATGATCCAGCTTGGTGTGTGGAGACCACATGTAATGGTATTATGTATATTTCAGCTGGTCTTTTAAACTCTCTAAATACCAGACTTGAATTTTAATAGCATCAGCTTACACATTGTCATTGCCTTTTTAAGAATTAAAAAAAAAAAATCCAACCTACCTAATCGGCTTTTTGTATTTTATTTTGAAGAGATTTTTCCCTTTACCTATTTGTCTGTATGAGTGTATTTATGACCAAGCCCTGGTGGCACTGGGGGTTGGGCATTAGACCGCTAAGCACAAGTTTGATGGTTCAGATCTACAAGCTGCTCCTCGGGAGAACTGTGAGGACATCTGTTTCTTCTTCACAGTCTTGGAAACCAAATAAAGGGGCTCTGTTAGTTGGAATTTACTCATCGTCAGTGTTTTAGGGTTTTGTAGTTAATGTATTTATGAAGTTGTTTGCTTGGTTTTTTGTTTTGTTTATATCATAGTTTTCCTATTCTTAGAAGACTGTATAATGTATACTTTTGTAGTATCATGATGGCTTTTCTGTATTCATGTAAAGATTTGGTTTTGTTGGGGTTTTGTTGGGGTTTTTTTTTGCAATTTCATCATAGAATAATAAACATGTAATCCTCATTTATTTTTCTTTCTAATTTCCCATACACAAATTATATTTGGAGAATGATTAAATGATTTGTTGAAAAATGTATCTCTGGAGCCCTGATGTCACAGTGGTTTAAGCACTTAGCTGCTAACTGAAATATGGGTGGTTCATATCCACCAGTCACTCCAGGGAAGAAGATGTGGCAGTCTGCTGCCATAAAGTTACAGCCTTAGACACCACATGAGGCAGTTCCACCACCGGGCCTTACAGGGTCACCCTGGCAGCATTGGGTTTTCGCTTTAAAAGTTAGCAGTAGGGCTGGCTATTCAACTGCGGCCTTTACTTCCGTTTCAGTGCAGTATTCATTGTCATTGCCATTGTTCATATAGTTCATTGTATGTGTTAAGTCTTGTATTTTTGTGTCAGGCAACAACCCAGCTTCATTGTTGTCAGTGTTGAGAGTTTACTTGCTCTCTTCTAGGATATCTCACCAAGGAGTATTACGTAAAGGCGTTTAAAAACCTTTTACTCTTTGGGTCAGGAGGGCCAGAAAAAGAGAAGTTCAAAGTTTAAAAAAAAAAAAAAAAGATTAGTTTACTTCTGTATTCTGTTTTCATGCTACCAAACGATCCTTCTTGCATGTGCCCTGTGTGATTTGTGTGTCACAGTTTCCCAAGTACAAGAGGGCTTCAGAATGTTTGTGGGAACATCCCATTAACTTTTTAAAGCCCATTCCGATAATCTTAGGTAGGACAAATTGCAACTGTTTGATAATAATTCCTAATTGTATTATTTTCTTAGAGACCTTCAGAAACATGGCTTCCAAAGAAGAGAATCCACAAAGCACGAACAGAGTGCTAAGAATAAGTCAGCTGGATGCACTTGAACTGAACAAAGCCCTGGAGCAACTAGTTTGGTCCCAGTTTACTCAGTGCTTTCATGGATTTAAGCCAGGGCTGTTATCCCGCTTTGAACCAGAAGTAAAAGCATTCTTGTGGGTTTTCTTGTGGAGATTCACCATCTACTCCAAAAATGCCACTGTGGGGCAGACAGTTTTGAATATTCAGTACAAAAATGATTTTTACCCAAACCTGAGATATCACCCACCCAGTAAGAATCAGAAGCTCTGGTATGCTATTTGTACAATTGGAGGGAAGTGGCTAGAAGAACGGTGCTATGATTTGTTTCGAAACCACCATTTTGCATCATTCTGGAAAGTCAAACACTGTGTGAATATTGTAGTTGGACTATTGAAGTTAGGTGAGCTGATTAATTTCTTGATTTTCCTTCAAAGAGGAAAGTTTGCAACATTGACAGAACGTCTACTAGGCATTCGGTCTGTATTTTGCAAGCCCCAAAACATGCGTGCAGTTGGCTTTGAGTATATGAATAGGGAACTTCTCTGGCATGGTTTTGCAGAGTTTCTTATTTTTCTCTTACCACTTATTAATATCCAGAAGTTGAAAGCCAAGCTATCTTCATGGTGCATCCCTCTTACTGGTGCTCATAATAATGACGAGACTTTAGGCACCAGTGGCAAAGAATGCTCTCTGTGTGGAGAGTGGCCCATCATGCCTCATACCATAGGATGTGAGCATATCTTCTGTTATTACTGCATTAAGAGTAGTTTCTTATTTGACATGTACTTTACGTGTCCCAAGTGCGCCACAGAGGTACATAATCTTCAACCTCTGAAGTCAGGAATTGAGATGTCAGAAGTGAATGCACTTTAGAAACTGCAATTCTTTCCTCTCAGGAAAGCTGTGTGATAGTTTAATCCTTCATATTAGTCATCCTAAGTATATTATTTAGATGTCTTTTATGAGGGGCTTACTTCTCAGCCACTGTCTTCTAGTCCTTGCCAGGCATGACTAAATGTTAATCCTTGGAAACCACAAGATTTAAAATATATTATGTAAATATTAATGGAATGTTTTTTGTAATCACAGCATTAATTTTTTAATTGTAAGAATAATGGATCATTTTTGTCAGGTGACTACTAAGAATGCGCCATCATTTTCCTGCTTCCCGGAAAGAGGATGAACGAACGCAGAAAATAAACGATTTTTGACGACTCTCTGGGAAGTGTGTGCATTGTTTTCAGAGATGGCATTTTAGTTTCATAATATAAAAATGTTACAATTCCATTGCTTTAAAACTTTAATATCTGGTGCCCCACTTGGAATTATAAGCTCTTCTGTGAAGGCAATTTGTAAGGGGTTTAGTCCTCAGCTGTCAAACCAAGCCCCTTCAAAGTTGGGCTCTTCTATTTAGCATGTGAAAATTGCTGAAGGCAGATTAGAAGTGAGACATGGGGATTCCTGGGACATCCTATGTGAACACTGCCTACTGGATGTCTTTCTTCTACTCTTCGATTCAGAGCTTCCATTCTCACCAAGCTTACTGATAGATTTTAAGAAACATACCAGCAGTATGTTGTTTTTTTTTAACCATAAAAATCTAATAGCTGATTTCAAAATTCTATATCCTTTTAGCCTGTTTCTTTGTATTTTCACTTAGGAAAATGAACCGTCTGTGAATTAAGAAAATTAAAAGTTATTTGGACTACTTAAGTTGCTTTAAAAATACCGATTACGTGGAACTGTGTGTGACCTCCTCCCTGGGGGACAGACAACCGAAAAGTGGGTGAAGGGAGACGTCGGACAGGGCAAGATATGACAAAATACCCATTTATAAATGATCAAGGGCTGATGAAGGAGGGGGGAGCGGGGAGGGAGGGGAAAAATGAGGACCTAATGTCGGGGGTTTAGGTGGAGAGAAAATGTTTTGAGAAACGATGTACAAATGCGCTTTACACAATTGATGTGTGTATGGATTGCGATAACAGTTGTATGAGCCCCTAATACAATGTTTAAAAAAAATTAAAAAAAAGAATAGGTAACAAAAAATGTGTAAATATTAAGCTTCCATGACAACGCTAGTGGAAAGGAAAGTCATATTTATTTGAAATCTATATGTCACATCTAGGAAAAATAAATGTTGTTTCACATTTTTAAATCATCAAAAAAAAAAAAAAGATCCCAAGTTTGTGTCTCACAGTAAACCGCAATATACAATTAGACTTTGAAAGAAGACAGCATGATTGCTTCTGGGCCTTTTGACTAGGGTCAAGTGTGCAAGAAGACCACGTGTTAAGAATAATTCACCTTGAATTAAAGTGAGCCATAGACTGCTCCAGAGCGGGTACTTTCACCTCCTATTGCACAAACGAAGTAACAGTATCAGTAAGTTGTATTCTTTTGTAAAACTCGTAAAATCATATCAAACTATAATGTGAACATTGACTCATCTCAAATGTTGACATTTTTGGAAAATGCAATTTTGTAATAAAAATCTAGCAAGAAATATATAATGATATAGTATGGCAGAAATACACTGCCAATTGCTTTCTGTTTGCCTATCATTCCACAAATGTTTCTCTGTTCCAGGTGCATAGGTAACCATTATGAATAATGTACAATAGCAAAAGGAAATAATATCCCTCTTGGAGTTTATAGTCTGTGATTAATTGGATCTAAGTTCAGTCAGAATAAAACACCTTAGAGTTTTGTAGTTTAGTACTTAAGAACACTTAAGATTTTTTAAAGATTATTTATCCCCCTCTGATCCTAAAAGGTAATTGTAGAAAATTACAAAAAAAAAGGGAAAAGGTCATTAAAAATAGCCATTTAAAAAACAAACCTCCAGTCATTGTAATATATAAAGATAATAATATTTCAGTTATATTTAATTTCAGTTTTGATGAACATTTTATTTACATGATTTTTATAATGAATATAGAACTTTTTTCTGAGTAGCATTTTTTTAAAATCATTTTATTAGGGGCTCATAAAACTCTTATCACAATCCTTACATACATCAGTCGTGTAAAGCACATTTGTACATTCATTGCCCTCATTATTCTCAAAACATTTGCTCTCCACTTAAGCCCCT